TAAACATGGGGGTCACTTGGAGGCTATACGATGCTCCCAAGACCGTTTTTGGGTTGACAGGCAGTTCGGGCACAACAGGCCTAAAGATATACAGAAACCCTCGCACGTGTGAGTGCGCTATGTTGTACCTAAGAGCTCAGTCTCGCACCTTCTCAACCGTTCTATTATCTGCTTGAAAAGAGCAACTACTTCCACTTGCTGTCTCTTCTGCACCTTCTGGTTACACAATTTTCTCTGGATTCGTGGTAAGCAATGTGTATCGTTCATATTCTCGAGAGTCTTCTGAGGAATTGTTTCTAGGTGCAACATTTCGCAAAGTCTGTTTTGATCTGCGTCTTTTCTGAACAGTTTCTTAAATTTCATGACGTACTTCGACGTCTGCGTGTGCTCTACGCACTGTTAACAAAAGTGTAAAAACGGTTCGCAGAAGTTCATATCTCGCAAACTCGTCATCTATTTATATCGACTCGATATAAATCTGCTACTAGTGATGTAGGTTTTAAAGAAGTTTCTTTTTAATTTTCGAATGATCCTGGGCCTGGCCTGCCGTTGCATTTTAGTTTAGCGTTTACGGCCTGTTGTATCCAGCCGGTCAACGCTTGGAATTCTCCACGCCCTCCTCTCAAGTGCTTCCACATTTGGCCCCTGTTGACATTCCCCTTCCCCTTTTGTAACCTTTTTTGAGCGCGATCGGCGTTCTTTTAATTAACTAATTTTGTATTCTGACCTTGAGCTGGGAATTCGATCTGCTCGAACATTAACAAAGGAATTCTTTGTCCAGGGTATCCATTGTTGAGGTTTGTACGTTTTTTCATTATTACTTTATTCTATCAATAGTACCGTATAAACACCGAAAGCTGTTTTGGCTTATACGCGTCACTTTGTCAGCAAAGAATTCCACACGGCCCAAAAGCAATATTAGCTTAATATAAGGAAAATCATTCACATCTATATCCCATTAAGAGGACATCATACGGAGATTATATAATTTCTAAACAAATGTGGAATGTGTCGTGCACTTTCAAAGAAAATTAATCACCAGGCAGGTGAGACGCTATTTAACGAGACATTCCATGGCCTTAAATTTTTTAATAAACACGAACCTTCTTAAGCGGAAATATACCCGTTTTTCGAATAAAGAGTTCTAAAGTATACACGTTGTTCTACCAAATGTTCTCCATAAAACATGGCTGAATGTGTGAGGACATCAAAAATGAGTGGAAAAAGTCCATGCTACTTAAAAAGTCACATTTGGCCGAGTTCGGTTTTATTAGGCGGTCAAAAATAAGTCTATTCAAAAGCCGACATCCTGGAATGACTGAATATCTTGAGATTATATTGTAAGACGATTAATATTACAGCCTGACGTAGGTATTCCTTGCAAAAATCGGAAACACATTTCAGAACCTCGGTGACCACTTCACGAGATCAATCACCAAATGAAGATCATAAAAGTGGACAGAGCACTGATACGGCGCAAGATTTTCCTTCCCTCTATTTGGAAAGTGTGCTTTGCGCGAAGAACCGTCATTCTGCTGTTTAAATATCTTTTATGCGCCGCCATAACCACATGTTGAAAAATTCAGTTCTGGTCCTTTGTAACCGGCTACGATAAGGGAGTCTATATACAAAATAGTAATTGTTTTATTGTTGAAAGCCTCCGGGACACCATTAGTCCATTACTCCCATTGGCAAATCTGGGAACCCACGAGAACCGGATTAGGGTCCGATGCAGGCTTTAACACACGGGGACGCAATTTCGCGCCTCCACCTGGGGTCAGAACTCTGTTGACAT